GGGGGGGGGGGGCGGCCTAAAGCCGTGTAAGGGGCCCCAAAATTTCTGACGGCTGCCCTGAGTATGTGTGGGAGGTAGAAGGGTGCTTTTAAACCAGCAGTAAGTATTGGAGCTTCGAAGACCAGAACAGACCATGATTCTCCTGCGGCAGCAGGAACATGGAGACTGGTAGGTGCACAGACCCCAAAGTGCCTCACAAAAGCAAACAAGAGAAACCTATTAGCCGTTTCTCTGTTTGGACACAAATGTTTGTGTGGCATTTAGCTTTAAAAAGGAAAAACCTCAAAGAAACAGAATATGCTGCTGACCCACTTTTTATTTTCTGTGATTACTGATATTTAAAATGTTTTCATCCCTACAATTAAACAAGAACTATAAAATATACTTGCCATATACTGCATTTAATGAAAGCCAATGCATTAATTATAGAGAACAAGTGTAAATATGAGAACTAGAATATTTATAATAAAATCATACTATAATTATGCTGATCCCAAAATGAACTGTTACATACAGTATATACTCTTTCACATCTTAACAAATTGCAAATGAATCTATGATTTAAACTTGTGTTCTCCTGGAGCATGAAAACCCAGACTAATTGGGATCTGGACTCATAAAAGGAACATAAGAAGGCACTTAGGGGGCGTAAAATGCATGATTTCAATATTGTGAGGGAAGAGTTACAGTTCAATCCATTTTTCCTTAAAGACCTCTAAGTAATGTGTTTTTCCATGTCCTCAGCAGAATGGCTTTTCATACTGAATCAACATCTCCCCAAATGTTTTTTAATGGCTTTTAAAACCAGTTTCTAAGTAGGAATGCCGAACCAACATTAGCCCAATCGCTGCCGGAGCCTTTTTTTTCTTTTTGTGTTTGCACGCATGTTAAAATTCACATTTTAGGCCTGATGAAAACTCGCGAAACATTATATTTTTATGAAAGCAGAGACCCTGTAGAATAAAATGGTGTCGTTAGCAATGAATGACTGCCCTAGAATTATTGCTCTAACTCTGGCTATGCTACCATGTTTGAAGCAATCATCATTTTTGTAGGCAGGTGCACACAACATGTGTGTTTACATTCATATGTGCATCTATGTGGGGACAGGAGCTTTAGAAAATGTTTGCATGGTTTTTTATTTATTTTATTACACTTTAATGTTTTTTCTCTACTTAACTTTATTGCTTTCAAAAGGGACTGATAGCATACTGCAAGTGACAGAAGGTATTAGGGGTCTATTAGACCTGTGATGTCACCTCAACACTCTGATGAAGCTAAATGGGCACATACTGTATCATGCTCAATTAGCTTTGTCCTCAGCTACAGAATCTGGGGAAGGAAAGCCCTGAACTCAGAAGTCATCAAGCCTTGTCGCTTTCAGGTTAATACTATGCAAGGGATATCAGAAAATGGATGTTTGCTCACCTCCCTTCATTCTCCATCCTGAGACCCTCCTTGGAGGTCCTGGAAACCTAGGAGGGGCAGGAGAGTCTGGGACATGTGACTGGGGGTGGGCAGCATGCTTGCATACCTGTGGAATTGAATTGATCAGTTACCACGAGAAAGCCGACAGCCAGCTGTGAAAGTGTAAACAGACTACAGGCTGTCTGTTTACAAGCTGATGCTGCCACCGACATATGAATTACATTAGCAGCAGGAAAATGGTTATTATTATGGTTACTTTAAAATGACTAATGGTGTTTTTCCATACCTCTGACATAAGTATACTAATCTGTATATGAGTCTACTATAATGCGTATACCTATCTGAGCTCTCTGGCAGGGGTGACTAGAACACTTTTCTGTACAGAATTACTGTACATATCTGTGACAGCAGTTTTTTTTCTTGTTAAATTTAAACTGTGTGCCTGAAGTTGTTTTAATGACACTAGGAACAGGGATGATAGAATCAGCCTGGATTCGATTCCAGGGCAGTTTGTGAATATGCATTGTTAAATCGGGGGGGGGGGGGGGGCAAAAAAAACA